GGAGGGAGCAGGTGAGGGGATGTGTTGGGAGGGACCGGGGATGTGTTGGGGGGGAGCAGGTGAGGGGATGTGTTGGCCGGGAGCGGGGATGGGTCGGGAGGGGGGGGGGGGGGGGACGGGTGGGGCATGTGGTCACTCGCTGGTTACAAGGGGTCAGGTCTTGGAGCTCAGGGAGAGAGGGGAACTGGGATTTGGGGGCTCTAAGCCAGCACTGTGGGCCCATCTCTGCAAACCACATGGGCTGTGAGATATGAGGACAGGACACCTTGAGGCAAAACTGAGAAGTGCTGCAGCTCTTAGAAAATTTCTCTCTTGGCCATTATAGATGTGCCTAGGAGCTGCTTCCATGGTGTGGGAAGCCTGGGATAAAAGAGGTTTGGGGCTACCTAAAAGTCAGGCTTTAAGGAACTTATGCAAAGAGGGAAGCTGCCCGCAGGGGCCAATCCTTACTCCCCAGGGCAGGGAGTGGCAGCAGGAACCAGGAAGTGTCTCCCTTGCTGAGTTGGAGCCATGTCCAGTGTCTTAGCTACCAGGCTGGAAGGCTGGCTGCGGAAAAGGAATAGATGAAGAACACCATCCCACCTCCCAGGCCCTTTTATTTGGCCTAATGACCTCTAAGAAAGGGGACAGGCCTGAGGGAACATCAAGAATCAGGTAAGGCCCGGCGGCGGGACGGGTCGTTCCAGTGCCACTCACATAGTTGGGTGCGATGTCCTGGATGGTGTGCTCCACACCGTCGTCCACGACCACCACGGTCACCCCTTGGCCGGTTACATTGCGCTCCCATACACCCGTCACGTTGATGTCCCTGCCGGGGCTCCGCCGGTTATTCTGCAGGAGAGACAGGGTCAGGAACTATTCTCTGAGCCCTGGGAATCCAGTGACACGCAGCATAGCCCATAGAGAGACAAGTTACAGCGAGCAGCCCCTGTGCACTCTTGGCCACCGTCAAGGAGCCAGAGAGAGGTTGTAGACCAATAACGGTAGGTGGGGACAGAGCTAAGGAGGGACACGTGAGAGCTTTGCTACAGCCTAGGTCTCCAGGAAAGCCTGGCATCACTCACGGGCAATAAGGGTGAGATGGTGGCTAGGGTCAAGGGTTGGATAATATAATTTGTAGGCCATATGATATACCTTATATTAACACCGTATAATATAATGTTACTAGTTAACTCTTGTAAAGTGTTTCCCATGTGGGCACAAGTACATTAGTTCACTTAACCATAACCATAACCATTACAATCTCCATTTGACAGAAAGGGAAACTGAGGCACGGAGAGGTTAAACAGTGCACCCAAAGGTACACGCTAGTCAGTGGCAGGCGGCCCAGGCAGCCTGCTCCCAGGACCCACGCCCAGCCAATGCAGTCTGCCAGCTCTCTGGATATGAGCACAGGGAAGGTGGAGCCCGAGGACGAAGCCCACTGTGGAAGCCCACAGAAATGTCTCCTCAGGCAAAGGATGGGGGCCACTGAAGAGTAACACAGACAAGAGCCCACTAAAGCACTGGGTACCCCCCGCCTAGCCATCTGAAGCCAGAAGCTGCAGGGCTGGACTCACCAGGTGCCACTGCTGCGGGTACTTGGGGTCATTGAAGTGGACGCTGCGCTTGGTCCGCTTGAGCAGCCTCTGCTCTGAGTGCCAGCGCACAGCTTCGTGCCTGGCCAACACGGCCTCCACCTGCTGCCGGACGGCCTCCACCTGCGGGGCCTGCCGGTGCCCTGCCGGCTGGACCAAGAGGTAGTGCCCCTGGAGCTCCCCGATGCGTCCTGCATTCACCAGCCCTGCCGCCTGGGCCAGGGCATCTGCCCGCTGCTCCAGCGACTGTTCTTCCCTTTCGCCTTCTGGGCTGTCCACACGCACGGCCCAGCTCAGCCCCTCCGGACCCTGGGCCCCAGGCCCACCTGCCCCCACCAGGCCCATCACCCAGGGAAGCAGCAGGAAGAGCCCGGCTAGCTCCAGGCAGAGGCAAGTGGGCCTGGGGCCCAGGGGGGCATCTGAGTGTGGCACTTTCTGCCTCCCCTTGGGCATCAGAGCAGTAGGCTGCAGACAAAGAGAAAGGACATCAGAGGTAAGAGCGCGATAACATGGCACACCTGGAAATCCCTAAGCCGTGCCTTTTAAATCATTAAACATGTGATCCTCTCCTGTTATTCACAGTTATCTCTGACCAACAGGGATAAGCCCCCAGGGGCAGTGTGGGCCAGCACGAACCCTGGTGGATCCCTCAGTGGCACGATTATCACTAGATAATCAAGCAGGATGTCTAGTTGCTCACAGGCACTGTGCTTCTCTTTCCCACTGTTGCCATGAAAAGGGCTCAAAAGTCATAGGACTCCTGCAAATTCCTGGCAGGGTCATGACCGTTCTTTAGAAGAGACCCTCCTCCCTTCTTTAGAGGGGACAGAAATCTTTCCCCAGCTGACGTCTTGGTCCCGTTGTCCTGAGGGCTAACTCCCCGCAGTGGGGCCCCGTTCCCACCTGGACCCTGAGTGAGGCTGAGCTCCTGGTCTGGCTAACCACCTCACGCTCATTTTGTGCAAACGGAGAAAAGGCATCCCTTTCGCTGTGAGCAGTGGTGACTCCAGGCACAGACTGCAGACCTGTAGGCCCCAAGAAAACAAGAAATGGTGTCCTCCCAAACCCAGTGGAGCAAGCAGAGGCTGGCCATGAACTCTAGGATCCGTGACCAAAGAAACTGCAAATGATTAAGTATCATTTCCAGGAATCCCAAATAGGTCACAGACTAGAAGCGAACTGGTACAGTAAGGCCAGATCAGTACATAACCCAGAAAGCATACTTCTCGACCTAAACATCAGGCCATCCTCTTTTCTTTTTTTCCTAGATGCCTAGAAGAGGGCTTGAACTCTTAGCAAAAACCCCTCTTGAAAAAGTAGGTGGTACTGCTCCCTAGAAGTCCGGGTGGTAGCTAACTTCCTGATTTCTGTACCTGTGAAGGATGCCAGGGGGAGTAAGAGTAGGCGGAAGGCAGGTGAAATGGGGAAAACCCGAGCATGCAAACAAAACTGAACAGGCGTAAGAGGCAAGTGGACACCCTGGGGAGAAGGGGTGATTGGAAAGCAGCACTAAAGGGCTACTCTTAGTCACTAGCTCAGCAAGTTGGGTGAGAAGTGAGGGCTCAAGCTCTAAACCTGGGACTGCCACCCATGGTTTGACAGAAGGGCCAAATTAGAACTGGTGGGCAACTGTGGGGACAGAGACAGGTGAATGGGTGACAGAACATGTGTGTCCCTATTGGTGGCTGGGCTTCAGAAGCATCTGCTCTCTACGGGGGTGGGGTGTAGGGGGGTCACCTTGAGGTAGGGCTTAGTACCCACACACATATGCAAATGGATTAGTCTCAAAACATTACATAAACATGGGTATTTTACCGAAGTCTCTTTGGAAAGAGAGAAGGGGACTTCCGCCACCTAACATTTCCCTCCCCAAATCTACATATCTCCTTCTCTCTTTTCCTCTGAGGTTCCCAGACAAATTCCTCCCTGCGCTCCAGCAGCGTCAACTGTCCCAAGATATTCAGGTGTCCTTCCCAGTGTGCATACAAAAATCTTGTTAGATAGCCTGATAGTGACCCAACTAGGCAGGCTCCTTCAATCTCAGTAGAGCCCATAGATTTCCGGAAGAGAGGAGAAACCTGACCACTACATCCTCCAGTCCCTCTGGCAGAGCAGTACCTTAACCCCACCCCAGCCCTCACCCTAGGCTTCTGGGTAAGGAAACTTAAATGCCCTCTGAAAGTGGATCTCAAACTTCACCCAACTGCTAGGCGTGTCTTTACAGCTCTGATGTGCCAAGAGAGAAGAGGAATGATACGGGCTCCCAAGAGACTGTCCTCCTCGCAACCTCTACACCTGTTCCTAGAAACCAGGCCGCGTACCGGGGTCAGTTTCATTGATTTCCCCCTCCCTGGCCTCGACTGCCCCGTGCAATGTGCCCCTCTTCTCGGAGGACCCACACTATCCTGGATCCAAGACTCCGTGGCCCCGTCTCCCTGGGCTCCCCCACGCCAGGACTGAAGGCGCCTTCTGTGCGGCTCCCTCGTCCTCAGACACCGGCTGCCCCCCAGTTCTAGGCCACCCGGACTTCCAATGCCCCGCCCCCACCGAGCTCTCAACTCACCCGCCTGGCCGCAGCTACTGCCGCCGCCTCCTTACGGAAACTCACTGCTTCCCGGGAGCCCGAGAAGCCAGTGACAGTAGCATCACTTCCGCCCAGCGGCGCAGCCAATCAGCGACGGGTCCCCCGGCCGGCCCGACCAGCCGGGAGCAACTGGCTCTAGGGGTCCGGCTCCTTCGGGCATCCTCCACTGAGAGAGCAGCGTGTGTGGGTGCTCCTCGCGTGGGCCTACCGCCCCGAGTTCTCGGGGCATCTTCAAGAGGGACCTTCTCTATAGGGACGGTCCTCTCCTTCATGGTGTCCTCTGGAAAGGGCATCTCTGTTGCGACCTTTAAAAACACCTCGTTCCTGTTCTTCCTCTGATCGTCATGACCCCGACTCTCCCTGTACTCTTCCTAGAGGGGGTCCTCCCTCCACCAAGTCTCCTTCCTTCTCGCGGTCGTATCTTCCTTAGTCCCCGCGCCCCGGGAGAGTCCACTAGTAACTTAGGGGCTTCCTCAGCGTCCGCGACCCCTTGACGGTGCCGGCTCCTGCCGCCAGAGGGCGCCGTCGGGGGCGGCGCAGTGCCACCGCGGCCTCTCCTCTGCCGGCCGAGCCTCGCCCCCGCCGCTCGTACCGCCGGAAGTGGGAGGTGTCGCGCGCGGGCCGGCGCTCGACCCCTCCCCCCAGGCTCGGCCGCCCCCTCCCCCCGCTCCGCCCGCTCAGGTGAGTCCCGTCCCTCCCCCCTTCCCTCCCGGGCGCGGCGCGGGAGGTGTGTGTGGGGCGGGCGCGCGGGCGGGGGCTGCGGCTCGAGGGGCTGGGGTGGGGGCGGGGGGCGTGGAGGGAGCTGCGGGGATGGGGGGCTGGGGTCCCGGCCTAGAAGTGGGAAGGGGTGGCAGCCGGGCGGGGGGTGAGGGCAAGGTGCGGAGGGGCTCTGGCCGGAGGAAGCTGTAGGCTGGGCCAGCCCCCTGTGGAGGGCGGCCGGGACCACCGGCGTCGCTTCCCCCCATTGTCCCCTTCGCGACCGTCCCCCGATCTCCCCCCGAGGACCCGTCGCTCCCAGCGTCGCTGTCTGGTCGCCGCCGGGTTGCGGTGAGGGGCTTCCCTTGGCTCCTTCGACTTAAGGCCCCCTGCCGCCGCCTCCTGCCAGATGTCCCTGTCCCTCTCCCCTTTGGGCTCTCAGCCACGGAGTCGCCCGTAGGACCCGTGCCCTGTGGTTTCGTTTCCCGGGCGCCAAGGACCCCCGGCCCGGGCTCTGATGGGGCAGGATGTTTGCACCTGTTCGAGCAGTAATGGCGATCTGGGGCCTATTTTCTCCCGGGAGCCTCGTATAATTTGCTGAGGGAAACTGAGGCACAGGGGGTCTCCGGCCTGGGACTGAAGTGTGGACACAGCCCAGCCTCCATGCCTGCCCTATGCGCTCTTGGAGGGTCAGGGATGTACCTGGGATGCTATTAAAATAAAAACAAGAATTTAAACTAACCCTGTGTTACACCACCAACCACCCGCCCGCCCCCCGCCCCAATATTCATTTTTATTCTTCCTTTTCACCATAGAAGGCGTGAGTTTGTCCTGCAACATCTCTTACTTGGATTACCGTGTTTTTCAGCTTCTCATTTTCATGCTGGAGTAACCAAGATTCTCATACTCTGGCACCTCTAGTAACTCTAAAGAGTCTGTACTTTCCTCAGTCAGTGGTTGTCAGACTTTTCCCATCTGTGGGGAACCCAGAGTAAAAGTGAAAGATACTCGGATTGCCCAATAAAATATTTCTTTTTCTCTCTCACACAAACATCTCCAAATTAATGGAGAATGCTTTTAATGTAACAGCCATAAAATGATTTTAAAACATAAGCTATTATTGATATTAGGCCCCAAATCACATCCTTTGTAAATGATACTAGGCAAGGTAGGTAGGCCTGTGGATCATTTGGAAGATTCTCATGGTCTGTGAGACTGCATTTCTCCTAAAGTGAAAAAGCTTTGCGCGCGCGCACACACACACACACACACACACACACACACACACACACACACACACACACACACACACACACACACGGTGACGTGTGAGGATTGATATCCCTTGGGACCTATTGCATGTAATGGCTCTTTTAGTATCCTACTAGAGAATACCCTTAAGTGTTTTCTTCTGGAGCCCAACTTTTTCTTTGTGTTTCTTTCCTGATATGACTCTGTTGTATGGACATTCTGAGAGGGTGAGATATATTTGTTTTGAAATTTTGGAACTTGTAGCCTGTACTTTGTTTCTGAATGTGCAGAGCATGATGGCAGCATCTGAGGTCGCTGGCGTGGTGGCCACTGCTCCCAGTCCTCCAGAATCCTCGTCTAGTGTATGTGCTTCCAAACCAGACGAAGTTCTTCCAGACGGTCTAAGGTAACGTGTGGACTCTCAGCTGGGAAGATTTCATTTGGGTAAAGGGCTTTGGAGATGGGCTTCTTACGGAAGTGTAGTTCGTCTTTCCCCTTTTTGGTTCTAGTGACATTGCATTAGATGAAGCTTTTTAAAGGTAGGGACTATCTGATCTATATTTGTATATCTGGTACCCAACACAGTATCTGACACTCAGCAGGCATGCTAATTATTTGTTGAATAAACAGATTAAAATACAGGGGGTCAAACTCATTTGAAAATGCAAATATTTCCCACCTTCTCTTACATGGACTATCTGTTTATTTAACTGTATGTTTATGTTACATCTGTGTGTGTGTGTGTGTGTGTGTGTATATATATATATATATATATACACACACACACCCATTATATCTAATGTATATAGACACATGTATATGTATCTATGTTTATCTATAGGTAAATAGATAGCATTATTAATATGGCTTACTGCTTCATGTATGTATTTCGCCTTCCAACTAAACTCTTGAGGACAGGAATTATGAATACCCAACCTTGTTTTACAGTGCTTAAAACATTGTTATGTATAATGTTGTACTAGGTTGACTATGTATCCTACCTCAACTCTTTTTTTAATTTAATTTTTATTTATTTATTTATTTATTTATGGCTGTGTTGGGTTTTGTTGCTGCGCGGGGGCTTTCTCTAGTTGCAGCGAGCGGGGGCTACTCTTCGTTGCGGTGCGTGGGCTTCTCGTTGCGGTGGCTTCTCTTGTTGCGGAGCATGGGCTCTAGGCATGCAGGCTTCAGTAGTTGTGGCATACGGGCTCAGTAGTTGTGGCTCGCTGGCTCTAGAGTGCAGGCTCAGTAGTTGTGGTACACGGGCTTAGTTGGTCCGTGGCATGTGGGATCTTCCTGGACCAGGGCTTGAACCTGTGTCCCCTGTGCTGGCAGGTGGATTCTTAAGCACTATGCCACCAGGGAAGTCCCGTACCTCAACTCTTTTGTAGAGTACCTAGGACTTAATACAATAGATAACACTGTGCTAGCAGCTTTATATGTGTTAACACATTTAATTCTCTCAACAATCTCAGCAGGTAGGTGCTAATGCTATTATTCCCATTTGTAGGTGAGAGAACTTGAGACACAGAGAGGTTAGTAACTTGCCTAAGGTTACCAAGCTATGTTGGAGTCAGGGTTTGAACCCAGGCTCGTCTGACTCCAGCGTATTTAATAAATGTAACAAATCTGTTACATTTGTATTTATTATTTGTTACTTGTTATTAAGTGGGTAATGGGGAGAAATGTTAAGTAAACCTAACCATAAACTTGGATCTTCATTTTATAAATAAAATCAGACACATACTACTAGTAATAATAATAAAAGCTAAGGTTTATTGAGTGTTTACTGTGTGCCAGAACTAAATACACCAGATGCTTTATCTCATGTAATCCTCACAATAATCTTATTAGGTAGGTAATATTATTTCTGTTTTACAAATGAAGTTAAGTAACCTGCCCAGAGTTAAACAGCTAGTAAATAGCAGAGTCAGGATTCACACCCAGGTACTGTATCTGCCCAAATTTATAATTAAGTGTCCCCCCCCCGCACTTAACCCCAGTAAGGAATCAGCTTAGAGTATTTATAAAGATTTTTCATGTCACAAGGTGCTCTCTCTGTTTTATTTTGAACAGTAGGTACTATTGAGGAAAGGAAGGCACAATGACCTGAAGCCTCAGTCAGTACTAGTTTGGAGTCCTTAAGGGCATAGTTGACATAAGCAGTTTTTTTTTTTTTTTTTTTTTAATCACAAAGGAATTTAACACACATTATTCCTGGTAAAAGACTTACAGTCGTGAATGTTGGATGTCATTGTAAATAGGTTTTGAAGATCTCTTAAAAGCAGTATGGTAAGTGGTTGTAGCAAACAATAGAACAACGATTTCAGCGTATACATGTGTGTATATTTGTTATCTGGGGTAAAAGTTCTGCTGACAGCTTCAATTTTGGATTCAAAATCATCTGTACTTCAGGCAACTTGAAGTGAAGATGCTATGCTCTGGAAAGCTGTTGGTGGTTCTGGTCAAAGATCTGTAAAAGGAATTTGAATGAGAATTATTTTTGTGAAACGGGAGTGGAATTTATATTTCTCAATCAATATTTTATTTATTAAAATATGTGGAACAAAATTAGTACATGTACCTAAATGAAATAGTCTAAATAACAGCAGGCTATTTCACCTGCATCCCCACAAACCTTTGGCTCCTCAGCGTCATTTCTGTGTGACCGTTCGCTGCAGACGGTCTCCTGAACCCAGCTTCTTCACCACCACACCATACCCCCTGCATGTGGGACAGAAATCGCTGGGTGGAAACTAAGTTCCTTTTCATTTGGCTAATTTGGAGGGGTTTATATAGTCTAGTTTTGTTCTTCTAGTGAGTATGTTAAAAGTATTATATATTTAAGCCTCTTTAAGATTGGGTGAAGAGAGAAACCTTTTATCTTATGTTTTTGATAGCCCCAAAGACCCTGCACAGAAGCACAAGAACTCGCCTCTGTCGAGTGTAAGTAACCAAACGATAACCAAGGAGAATAACAGAAATGCCCATTTGGAACACCCAGAGCAGAATCCTGGTTCATCAGCAGGTGACACTTCAGCAGCGCACCGGGCGGTTTTAGGAGAAAACTTGATAGCCACGGCCCTTTGTCTCTCTGGCGGTGGGTCTC